AAAAGGCTTAAATTTGACAAACATTAAGCATTCCTTTTCAATATTACTTAAATAAGCATATTTGAAGTCATCTGCGATTATTGTGACAATGTCATTTGTTCACATACTATCCAAAGGAGACATAATTGGCTTTATCACTTACTCCAGATATTTCGTCTTTATTTTGGTGAACTTATATTCGTTTTCAAGTAACTACCTACTGTTAATAAGGAACAAATTATATTATTGAATATACGACTTCCATGAATTTCCCGTAAAATGACGTTCACACGTGGATAGTTGATAGTGTGAAAACAACAAATAATACAAATATATTGGAAAAAAAACATATGGTATCTATATGGGAAATATTCATTAATTTGAAACCAGGTAAGTGCTTGGTACGTGCATCGAAATACAACTAGTTTTACTAAATGTAGTTTGACAAATTATGTTTACGTTTGCACTCATTCAATCCGTTTTCTACTTTGATTTATGATTCATTTCACCTTCGCCTTATCGACAGCTTTCTCTTTCTGAGGGGAATAAACACACCATTTACGAATCATGAAATTGCACTATGAATACTCTTTTTTACTTTCGTTTAAGTAATATGGATATTTTTTCTATAAACAATAGATTCACCATCTACGGTATTAAAGATTCACAGGCAAGAATGTCGAGCATACGAACAAAGCGAAGGTAAGCGTAATGTATTTCATATTTTAAAGGCAATAATAGTCAAATCAGAATCCCCCAAAAATATCACATTCCATTATACAATCAGATACATCTTGTATAGTGTGCATTTGCATGTAGCTATGAGATGGTGTCCCTAAAAAGGTACAACTTATTAACACTGAAACAATTCTGCAATTGGTTACCTTTTGCAGTACAAGTTTAATTAGCATGTACATGCATTAATATATACTATAACGAAACGTAACGCAACCTCATACATTATAGGATGTCTAGATCAATGTTCAAAGTTAACAACTATATCTCAAGTTAGACAGTTTGCTAAAAGTAATCCTTAGATTGCATAGTAATTTTTAGTTTAGATTTAATTTATACGTGTAACCTTTTGGTTATTAATGCACTAGCTTAATTGTGTAAGATATTCAATGATAATTCATGCTTTAAAATACCCTCGTTCTGTAAAATGAATGTTTATTCAGTAATAATCAACGTTAAGTATTTTGGTGGTATACTTAACGAGGGTGAGAAAATGTTCGAAATATTTTCGAATCTGGAGTTATATATTCCGTCAGAATATACAAACATATGTTTATTATGTATATTCTACCAAGTAAAAAATAACGAAAGTCTTTGATTTGTCTAATTCAGTGTCCATACGCCTGTGATAAGCAAGGTGACCTACATACTCTAATAATTAAAGCTAGGCTTTTCTTTTGCGTGCGATAACATTTGTCACGTGATGGCTATATATTTATAATCATTTCATAGCATGCTACGCATTTCTATCATTTCTGACCCTGTGGGCAATTGTCCCATTTTGTTTAACAAACGAAAAGTGTCGTTACATCGCAAACGTGGTAAAATATTGTTTTAATCAACCTGTCTTGCGATAGGACATACTCTTTACTGATCATACAAGAAAAACCGTTTTCAAATGTATAATTCCAAAATAATCAACACATTTTTCAAAGTGTTCTCCTGGTCTTTTCTTTTGCAGTTATCAGGCCCTGGTTTCAATTCTAGATCTGACGAAAGTTCAATTGACTGCCAGTGATATACAGGAACCAACAGTGATAACTACGCCAGGGTCTAACGTCCACATACTCGCAGAACCATTGTTGGGGCATTGTGAACATCCACAGATGACAGATAGCGTTGGTATAAGTGTTAAAACATTCATGTCGAAACAAAGCAGCTTTGGAAATGTTGGATTTTATGAACAATTCTGTCCAGTCCCAAAAGAATTTTCAAACACTTCCTTTGTGAAATTATATTCTGTTACGGCCATTTTACAGAAACGTGGAAAACCCTATGTAAAGTTCAATGGAAATCTTCAAATGTGGAGATCGGATAAACTAGCTAGACTACTCCCTTCATCAGATAGCCGACACAAAGGATATGAGAAAACAAGAAAGGATGATGTTCGTTCAAGAAAATTTCTCTCTAAGGTGCGGAGCTTTCACAAAAGTCAGGAACATCAACACAACACGCAAACTGAGTTTGGAAATGTGAATGTTTCAGTTCATATTGAACTTGTGTCTCTGTACCTAACAGACCTTTGCAGTCGCGGACTTTTCCCTCCCACGCCAAACGCAGGTCATACTCATTTCACCCTGCCAAGCACAGAACCTATACAGTTTTACCCTCAATATGAGATTGTGTGGAACTCGGTTATGAGACTTCTGTCATTTCTCTACGCACCAAATGAAAATTACCTATATCCAATTATTGCACGGGCTGGGTTCTATCTTATCGATCAAAGTGGCAGTGTTTGCTGCAGCAAATGCGACTGCTTGTGCAACATTGCCGATTTCGAAGAAGGCAAACAATCAGAATTTGACAAACATCACAAGCTTGGATGTATGCATCGCCAATACCACAAGGAAGACTGTGACCTTCCACAACGCCGACCTGAAACCGAACTGGAAGCACCACATAGAAAAATTCAAAACAAAGCTCCTCTATCACAGACAGACTTGTCACGCAGTCAGGATGAAGCAGACCTTGTAAGTCACCAGTGTGAAATAGAAGTCGCCTATAACGGACAGGGTGAAGCAGAGTGCTTGAAAAGACAAAGTGAATCGATGAAAACACCAGGATGCATTTCAAAACTATATAGAAATATTGGGCAACACAAGTCTTCAAAACAGCGATCACTTCCGACTACCACTCCAGGAATCCTTAACCAAAAGGCATTGTCTGTTTCCCTGCAATCTGACATCCCTATCGTAGATGGGAGTCGCACGTCAAATATGATGGAGACTAAGGAACCCAACGAACAAATATCGCCTGATTTCATTTCTCGAAGAAAAAGGAATGATACACTGCTGCTTCTTAAACTAAAGTTGCAACTTCGGAAAGCACTTGTAGAAAATGGATTCTTCTATGACGGTATGTTATTTTGATAAAACAGTCATTTATATATAGTACAGATGTTGAACATGGTGTGTTAAATCGATGATCTTAATGTCAATAAATCCTAAAATAAAATGCAGTAAACATGATTACGCTTCTCTTTTCTTTTTCTTTTTGATAATTGGACATAATGTGCTGAACTAATAATCTAACTAGCAGAACTGTATTTGATGACTTTAATATTGTTTGTGTCTTATATTTAAGGCCGTGTTGTCCGGTGCTGTTGTTGTAAAATCATATACGTGATACCATCAGGCGAGGATCCATCGCAGTTTCACGCTCGAAAGAACCCTGCATGCCAGTATTTGAAAACTATACACAGAAAGTATGTGATTTGCTATTAAAAAAAGTATACATACAATATGTTTATAATCTGCATATTCAAATTAAGTGACACCGTGGGAGTGTATTAGTTTGTAGTGTCAGTATTGTTTCCTGAAAATTGTGAAGAATATCTTAACTGTCGGAGTATCAGTTGCTATATCAATTTCTACTACATGTGAGTATCTAAACCGAATTAGGTTTTTAATCACGTCATCTAATTTTCAAACTTAACAAATAAAAACACATTGCATCTGACTAACCATATATATTTTATACACAGGTTGACCCAAAAGACGTCTAAGACAGATGGACTGTGGTGATCAGATTGTCCGAGAGGCAGTTTGCGTGCATTTTTTCAAAATATGTTTTATTACCATAACTCAATATTGACGTATCCTGCAATTTTAGTTACTAATAACAGCAAACAAGATTTAAACCATTTACTACTTAAAAATGTGATAATTAGCTAAATTAAAAAAAAAAAAAAGACTTTTATCAACAGTCTGTGAGGAGCAGTTCCTACGTGGCTACCAAAACTGATGAACATTTTAAACTATTATATATTTTAAGATATTGTATCCGAAGTTTAATATCGATAGTGTAGATTTTGTTCACATCAATTTGCAGAAACGTTAAATATTCAGCATTTTGTTGCATCCATATTCGGATTAACGAACGGATTGGCTGTATTGTGTAAAGTGGAATGTCATCGTCGTATGAAACGCGGACCAAATCAAATAATCGTTGATTATTTTTCTATAAAGACAAAAAATATTTCAAGAAGTATTGATTCTTTGATATTACTATGCTTATGTTGGCAAAGAACATTTCTTAATAAAAACGTTTTTTTTATTCATCTATTGAATTACAGTTGCTCAATTTGTTCCTAATAATGTACGCTGATGACAAGGTCATTGTAGCAGAAACTCCTAAAGGTCTTCAAACGATGCTAGATTCTCTTTTATATTATACTTATAAGTGGGATTTAACAGTGAATACTGATAAGACTACAGTGATCGTTTTTAGAAATGGTGGTAAATTGAGTAACAATGAATACTGGACATTCAATGGGGTCCATTTAGACATTGCAGATGAGTTTAATTACCTTGGCGTTTTATTGAATTATAACGGAAAGTTTCGTAAAACGTAACAAAAAGTAGCAGAACAAGGTCATAAAGCATTATTTGCAGTTACAAAAGTGTGTCCGAAACATTATTTTAATTTTGAAACAATATTGTCGGTATCGATACATATGTCGCTAGCATTTTAAACTATGGGTCTGAAATAT